GCCCGGCGAACATCGGCCGGGCAGGGGCAGAGGCGCCGAGCGCCCATTTTTAAACAGTAAATACACCGTTGCGATAAACAACCGTACGGCCGTTATACGGCCGCCGAGCTACGAAAAGCCGAATACCGCCGAACGCTGCCGTGAACGTCCGAGCGACACCCGTCGAAACGCCTCGACGTTTCACCCAGAGGAGGTGACGTTTTACCGAATTACCTGCCGAAAAACAATACGTCATTATCCCCACCCGGGGGCGAACGACGCGGGTACCGTTAATCGCTCGGGTATATAACGGCAGCCTTTTTAGATCCCGGCACCAGAATCGTACCAGAAACCGAATCCGCTCGAGCTGTACGCTCGAGACTTGCCTGATCCGATCCTAATAAATCGCAAACACGACGGAACGTGAGGTTGACGAGTTCGCAGCCTCCGCCGAGCATTCTCGGCTTCCGAACCGCTTTACGATCCTTCGCAATCCAAGATCGTTCCTCTCGAGAGTTCTCGAGAGACGATCTAACTTCCGACCGATCCGACCATACGAACCGTGGGCTGGCGAGTTCGCTACCCCGTTGAGTTTTCTCAACACCGTTGGTCAATCCGGACTCCGCGTGCGAGCAAGGGACAGCGAGTTTGCTGCCCGTTCGAGATTTCTCGATATCCCACGCATCCCATAACATCTGGGAATAGGCGATATAAATAGTACCGCATACGCATAAGAAATCGTCTCGGCGATTTAAACCGTGTCACACGTTTTTGTGAACCACGCGCCGTCACAACAAACCGACCACGCGCCCCGCGCCGCCTACCTGGCGTGTTTATATTTGCGTTGCGTATACTACACCGCATCTCATTGTCAGATTCGCGTAATTGATAACAGCCGCGCCCCGTCAGTAACGCATTACTATCCGCCGCGCACCCGCTCCGTGGGGCAGTTCTGTATTATTATTCCGCGCCGATAGAGGCTAATAAAGGTAACATTTCTTTATATTTTAATTACATCGTGTGTCTCAATACTCTCTACAAGCCCTGATCACGACCGAGCGAATCCGCGAGCTCATAAAAAGTACACCCGTTACATATCTCTCTTTTCGGGGTGTATTCTAATTTCTAAGAGTGGGAATCTTCCAAAACTTTAACGAATTATAAATGGTGCCAGTGTCCTCATTAAGCGGGGTGTTTCTCCTACTTTTCAAATTTTCACTCATGACGATCGTCGATTGGTGATCAGTTCAGAATCCCTTGAGCTCTAGGTTTTCCTTACGCCTGTGATTTGATTAGACAAAGTCCAATGTGACGTTACAGAAGTTTCGTCATTATTGATTTAGTTGTATTCATCAGATATTTTGTGAGAATTTTATTATCTTTTTGTTATCAGCTTTTTATTCCGCTGGAGAATTCTACTGCAAGGGTATCTACTGGTTTTTATTTATTTTTAGGCGACCGGCGCGGTTTCGTCGCGTCTTTCTCACGGTTACTCGTAGATATAGATATTGATAAGTGACTAAATGTTTAAAGAATGTGTGACGCAAGATGCTCTATTTACTGAACGACTCATTTCTATCACCGATCAATTATCATTGCCGCAACTTCGCGGAAGGACGGAATCGTGGAGTCACCAGGACGTAACATAATAATTACTTAAATCTATCTAACTACCTTATCTAAAACTACTGCCTTATAATTATAATAATTGTAATTATATTAATTGCAAACTGGATGATTCTGGGAATCATGCGCACGCACCGCGCCGCTCATGCGCGTCGCGCCTGTGCGCTCAAATAATCCATTTTCCATCCCAGAAACTAATGATATGTTATATTACACCTTATGACTATCTATCTTACTAACTAATCATAACTAATTAACTACAATTTTTATTTTATAGAGGCACCAAAATATAGTTGATGCCTCTTTTTTTGGATTTTCACTTCATTGCAAGCGACACAAGTGCTTTTAAATCCACACTTGTATCGCTTCCAGCAAGACAAACCCCTCCAGGTGGACATCCTTGGGCCCGGACTGTGGTCCTCTCCATCAGTCCGCTACAGCCCTTACTATCATTCTTCCGATTCTTCCTTATATACAATCGACTCGTAATAATGCACATGCGAGAGAACTTGATTTATCACAATTAATGGTAATTAGCCTGCCTACTGTAAGTCTCACTTGACCAACTTTCAAGGTTTAATAACTAGCTTACCAACTGCCTAAGTAAAAAGAACACTAGATAAAGAATGACCAAATATCCAGAAAAATAACTAGACAACAAGTTAACCAGGAAATAATAACTAGAAAGTAAAATAAATATACAATTAATATACTAAACGCAGCTTTTTACTCCATGTACTATACCAGCGCATGCGCGTTGCGTTAAGTAAACGAATTATGGAAACGAGAAGTTGATATACGTCTGCACCGTTACGTTTCCGTCAGCGTTGAGGTTTGACTAGCGATATAGTAGTAAGTATTACGTGTTTAAAAAGCAAAATTAACCCTTTCACCCCCATCAAACTTTAAGGAAGTGAATACCTGTGTAATCGCAAATCGTTAACGAATCAACGAGTATTACTTGACGTATAATACGGAACAATTATTAGATATAAGATAAATTATTATCATTAAGTAAACTGCAGTATCTTTATCAGAGTCTGGGGGAAGGGCGGAGCCTTTCTCCCCGAAACCCCCCTCCACGCCAGCGCCTGTAACGCGTCACCTGTTAGAGTCGGGGGGAGGGGCTTCGTCCCTTCGCCCCCTCCCCCAACGTTCCCCCGTCGCGCGTCACGGGTGTGCGTAAATCCCAATCCGTAATATAAACATCCACGGTTACAAAAGTAAAAATTATAATCGAGCTATATCTCCGAAACGATACATCCTACGATAAAAGTGCATAGGACCTTTTCTGCAGACCTCGACGAAATACGCTAAAAAGATCCCGTACACTTTTCCGCTAGAACGCACCATTATTGAGTTTTAACAACTTTTCGCTTCTGTAGAGAAGCTTGAAACGCTGTATCTGCGAAACGGTACGTCCTGCGGCAGAAATACATAAGACCTTTTTTTGTGTAAAACGACGAGACAGGAAAAAAAATTTCAGACAAAAGTTGTATGGTTTCGAAGAGGACATAAGATGGTGCCATTAGTTTAACCTTGAATAGTTGCTTGAAGGTCACGTGAAGGTCATCTTCAATTTCTTCAATGGAACTATTTTTCATTACATATTCCTTTAGCTTACATCGAGAGTTTTCCAAAACCCTATAATTAAGTACTTTTTCGTTAAGTACTTTTTAAGTTATAAGGCAAAATCAAAAGCACGATCCGGTCGATCAAGGCAAGATTAAAAACACGTTCCAGCCGGTCAAGGCAATATCGGGGCATGTACAATTATTATAGGTGTTCGAAAAGACCGCCATTTACTTCGATACAAATGTCCAACCTACGGCAAAAATCATCCTACACTTTTTGAAGGACATCTGCATTTATATTCGTACATGCCTCTCGAATACGCTCCTTCATGTTTTCCACTGTTGTAGGCTCTTCCACATTAACTTTTTGTTTTACGTATCTCCAAAAGTAAAAATCGTGAGGGGTTAAGTCAGGTAATCTTGGTGGCCATTCATGAGTCCGACTACCCATTCCAATCCATTTATTATTAAATCTATGTTCCAAAACGTTCTCTTCGAGGAAAATTTTACTCCGATGGTCATTCCGAAACTTTTTTGAGCGTCTCTGATTGGTTTCAGGCTGGTCATCGAATAAAATTTTCCTCGGAGAGGAAATTTTGCCCAGTTTTGGAACTTAATCTAAATCTATTATTTATAGCGTTTTTGGACGTAGCAGGTTTAATCTCTTTTATAGTGATTAATGACGTTATTGCATCGTCTCTGCCAATAAAAGACTTGAATTCATAATAAAATATAGTGATTAATTGAACCGGGTTGGGTTAACCCGTTCATCCGAAAACGCTATTAAATAATGACGCTAGAGATACTTTGAAGCGTTTGATTGGGATACGTTCCGTTTCTCGCATGATGCGCATAGGAGCGCACGAGATCGTTCCGTTTCAATCCATGCGCAGTTCATGCGCGCATGGGAACGGTCTCCCACCACAACGCCGCACGCCGTATCATATTGTGCAGGGCTGCGTTCGAGAACGTCACTCATGTGCACCGAGCGTTGTTCTATCTTTGTTATTTACTGAAAGTTGAACAAAGATAGAAAGACGCTTGTGTGCACACGAGTGATGTTTTCGAACGCGGCCCAGCGCATGAGAGCGCATGAGCTGCCTCAGCTCCCGAGGTGGTGTAGTCCATGCGTGGTCCATGCGCGAGAGTTATTTAGGCGGGAAGGAGCCTATCTGTAAAGTGGTACAAATTATAGGATTCCGAAATTCATAAAAAATGACTTTGAAGAAGCTACAAATTTATGTTGATGATAAATTGTGGATGTTCGACGTGTCCGATACTGAATAAAACTCCAAATCTAAATATATGTACACGTAGGCGGACACAACAGCGCGGCCCCTACAAAGCTTGCAAAAAATTGCGTTCATCGATAAATGATCATGTATCACTTTCTATCTACGAGACCGACCCATTTCGAGATTTCGTTTAAAACTCCATTGCTTTCCATAAATATTAAAAATTGTATTAAAAAGACATTTATACCCAGACAGCACGAAAAGGCCAAAAGACATCTTGAAAATATTTAAACGTGCTAATAGCGGAACAATTTTTCAGCACTGCCAGTACTGGCAGTGTATATCGGAACACACCCCAAGCAGGACAAAAAGAGTAAAGATTTCTTTATTCTGATGGGTTAAGTGCCGGTCTACAATAGTGATTTCAGCTCTAAGCCTTAAGAAATTGACTAATCACAGTCGAGTATTCTCCTCATACTTGATCGTGATTGGTCAATTTCTTAAGGCTTAGAGCTTAAATCACTATTGTAGACCGACACTAATGCAATGCTTCGAAGCATCTCTAGCGTTTTCCCGACCACAGCCATCATCTGTGATCTGTGGATCGTGACAAGTGTATCTCGATCTAACCTATTTTTATAGAAACTACCTATTTTTATAGAAACTACAGTTTTATTTAAATTTAATTATTGATTGCAAAACATGGAAATCCATCCACTAAGTATAATTTTAGTAAAAAGCGATAGTAAGGGTGATAGATTGTTATTTCGATATCCTCACATGACAAATCATGTAAGGGATTCGGGCCAATGCACTAAACGAAAAAATCCTTATTCGCTAACGAATACGGAAGACTTGTTGCAAGTATGTTCTATTATTTGTAGCGTGTAATCTTATTCCAATACGCGAAAAATATTTTACCGTCGATATTTAAATTGTATTACTTATGATACATATAATAATAATTTTTGCTAATAATTTACAATTATATAATCCATTTTATTCAACAGTCTTTGCCATTTTCAACATCGAATATAAGTAATGGGAATCTAACTGGTTTAACGGATGAAGTTCTATCTACTTTATTTGCTGTAAAGCCAGAATTATGCGAACAGAAATTCGAATTAAAAGTAAATGATGTTCGCTTTGTTGGACATCCGACTTTAGTTCTATCTCGTAGCTTAAAGGAAGTAAATTCTTCTATGCTTTTCAATATAGTCTTTGCACTGCAAGCACAAGCGAGTTATTCGATAGTAAGATGTTACTATGACCTAAGTAAAAGGTAATGTAATTTCTACATATATGCAAAGTATTTACGACACGCGGAACTTGCATTTTGACGTGCTTAGATTAGGCATAGCGTTGAGACATGAGGAAAGAAGATGTGGTTTTCTGACGGATGAAATAAAAATAATGGTCTCTACACACGATGAAATTGCTGGAAGGTGAATATGATCGTTCATAATTTTTCATTATAGTCATTATAATATTCTAGTATAATATATCGTCTACATATAATATATCGTCTATATATAATATATTGTCTATATAATGGCTAGATCCGAAGGTGAGAGTGATTGTGATGAATCACCGTACGAATTAATCCTTCAACGAAGCTCACTAGCACGTGGTTTAAAGTCTGTCTTTAGTAATCTCAGTACTTCTGGCATAGTCAGTATTATGATTAACAAGTGGATTCAAGTGCGCTTCTGTCTTCCTCAGAAAGTTCACCAATCGCATAAGAAAGGTCTACTCATTGACCCTGAAATTATAGATAGGTTTGTTACATTATGCTTCCAAAATTCTTATGTACAATTGAATAAAAGTATGTTAACTTATAGTTAAATAGAAAGTTTAATCTTAAGACGCAGAAGAGAGCAAACATGTTCCCAAAGAGAGAAAATATATTCCAGTAATTTTTAGCAGTAATTTTTTGTTTTTTAATTTGTTTACTTATGTGATACAAATTTGTTGTCACTCTTGAAAGATTTGGATATATCGTTTGGCATAATCCATATACACGTACAAAGAAAGAGAAAGACAAAATAACATATTTTATTCCATGGCATATGAGAAATAATACTACAAATATGCTTACCAATTTTTTGGATTTCACTGTTAGTGTGATAAGTTTGAGAACTATAAGATCATATTATATAAGACGTAATATAACATTATCAGAAAATATAATATAGACAAAACTTTGTATAATATAATACCAAACATTTTAGGGAAACTATTTCCAAATATGTGTGTGTTTATGATAGATACTCTTTTATTAATTATTGAATTTTTAATTTCGGTATTAATATCCTTAATTAATTTCCAGTTTGATTAGACGTACTCTATCTCTCTCTCTCTCTCTCTCTCTCTCCCTCTCTCTTTCTCTCTTTATATATATGCACAATTTTATTTTGTATGTAATATTATCGCATTTGTTTTGCAGATGTTTGAATAGTTTAAGACCTTATCATGGCATACTTTTATTGACAGAGCCGTTAGACTTGCTAGAATCTTTGCAAATAGACTGCTCTCCGGCACTTAAACGTTTGATTCAAATGTACAATCCATTGAAAAGTCTACAAACTTTAGCAGCAAATTCGGATTTGACGCTCGCCCAGGTGTTTCAGCTAACTGGCCATTTAGTTTATTGGGCGAAAGCTACAATAATTTACCCACTTTGTGAAAGCAATGTCTATGTTATCTCGCCTGATGCTATTTTGACCAGTCAATTACTAGACTCTTTCTCCGAACATTTCCCAGGAGTTTGCTTACTTCAAGTATATATGCATATGCTATTTAGTTATTTGTATTGTATCCTTATTGGAGATCTATTACATATTAATTTCAAGCTTATTACCTTCAAAGATTAATATATATTAATGTGTATAATTATTTAACCTTAGTTTAATTTTAAATTTAGTTATTAAAGACTAATAAGAATATGTTATAATGTTATGTATTATTATATTTTTTTCTTTTTTTAGGTCATCAGTGATTTCTCCTTACCAACTTCCATTAGCCAAAAGTTGAATCCTTTAAGCCAACCACATCAACAAACGCAATTAGTAAAGATAATTATATGGCTATTAAAGAATCATCTGCTTCTACAATTGCATACATACGTGCGGTATATACCAACAGCATATGGGCGTTTATCATTAGTAAGATACAACTTACTACGATTTACAGTTGTGATATGAATATGTTATCGTGCTTTGAATATATTTACTTGATTGTAATGGACATTTCTAATTTTATTGGCAAAATTAATCCATCAAAATAGCAAAATAAATTAATTCCTTAATTTGTATAGCAAAGTAGCTTTTTTATTAAGTATAATTCTATATAAATAATTTTGTTTTTACAAAAAAAGCTTGGAGTAAATCTGCCCGCGATCGCGACTTTATCTTATTTATCATGCACATTTTGATAAGTTTTTTCTGAATTTTTATTTACGATTAATATTAGGATACAAAAGAAGACCAAGAAACATGTGACACAGACGTGATAGAAAAAAGCGGAAGCACATGGAGTTTAAACGAGACACCAAAAGGAACGCCTACCGAAATGAAAGAGGAATTGTCACTCGTAAATAAGAAGGATGCGTTATATGATTATCAATCCGAGGATTACGATATTCCTTCTGATGATAGGAAGCTACTCGATAGATTGTGCCATCTTGGCTATTTTAATGGTGGTTATCACTTGGAGGAGATTATGTATTTAGAAAACATTCGTAGATCCCAGTTGTTACAACTTCTTGATAAATTTCGGGATGTCTTAATGACTTCCGAATGCGAAGACCCCGCTATAGCACTCTTTTACAGCCAATTGGATTCTTAAAATTTTTTTATCTATACATAATATACATATACAATAATAGAGTCTCTATATCAGTATTATATACACAAATATATATACATATATATGACACCTAAAGAGAAACACTTTTCTAAACTGAAATAAACATTATACAAACAATTATAATTTGTATAATTTTAGGAAGCATGTATATATAAAGTTGATTTTTTTTCTCAAGACCATTATTTCCCGTTTTCATGAAAAACAAAAACAAAAAATTTTAAGGGGAAGATGTATATCTCCTTCACTTTTTATATTTTATATCTATCACTAGGAAGTATTTTCAAACCTAGAAAAATGATATAAATATTTTATCTATTGTTGTTGCTTCGTATATTTTGTGTGTGTATGTAATATCTTTGTTTGTCTTATATGTATAACTCTTACTCCCCCCCCCCCTCCTCCTCTCTCTCTCTCTCACTCACTCTCTCTCTCTCATATTAATATTTGCATCTACTTTTGAATTAAAAGACTTTCTTTACATTACAAAAAACACTTTATTTATCTTTTCTCTTATAAAATTTACAATAAAAGTCACAGGACTCTTTAGTTAATACGCAGTAATTTGCATTATGATAAGAAAGGAAGCTATGAACTGCTATGAGATATAAATATTGTTCGTTTGCATCATTATTTCGTGATTCAACTTAAAATTTTTGTTGTTTTTTACTGTCGCGTGTAATTGTATTTCTTTTTATATATGTTACGGGCGAAATCCGCAAGATTTGCAGAGTCGAGATTGCTCGGGCAATGTTCAGCATTGCATAATGCTCCTGGTCTTATCCAAAGCACCGAGCAATATGAGCTAAACCTCACTTCGCACAGAGAGTTACAAATCCATGTGAAATCGTACAATTATAAACCTCGTTTCGCGTCCGAAGCACAGGGCAATATGGGATGGACCTCGCTTCGCGCAAAAAGTTGCAAATCCATGTGAAATCGCCCGGGCACTATCAGCTCTGCACACCTCGCGGACTTCATCCATAACATATATACGTACATATATGTAGTTTCTAGCAATAAACTAACAAAATAACTATAGAATTGCTGATACGTTACGCGATGGTTTCTTCGGATTAATTCTTCATTATTATACAGATTTTATATGTAATATATATATATATATATATATATATATATATATATATATAATCCATTGAAATATTTCAGAGTCTTTAAGTTTAAGACAAAAATGTTTCAGATAAAAGTTGAGTGTTGAGGGACTCATCTGATGGTTATCTTCACTTGATCTTGGATCAAAGTCCAAAGGATTATTTCAAGGTTAATTTTATTTGTTTAAGGGGTCTTCCTAGTTTGACATTCTGAAAATAAGGCGATTTTGGGGAATTCTTTTTTAAAAAAAGGATAAAATATATTAATTCTAAACTTTGCACGTTTATTAAATAACATTTCAAGTATATCCTGAATATTTTTCAAACAAAAATATTTGTTTGTTTCGGAGTTATAGTAGCCCAACCAGGGTGTCTTAAAAAAAAATTGTTGTTCGTGGCGAACATGATTCCAACCATTATAGTCATCTGAAATAAAAAAACCAAAAAGATTCTCAATCTGTATGAGTGTGGCTATAGCGTGAACTAAAATAAAAAAATGGCAACGTCTCAAAGAAAAAACTTCATTTTTCACCAAAAAATTGGTTAGTTTTGTAAGTCGCAAAATTTGAATTTTGCAAATATCGATTTAATTCTAGTTCACACGATAACCACATTCATACAGATTAAGAATCTTTTTGGTTTTTTTATTTCAGATGACTATAACGGCTGGAATCATGTACGCCATTTTTTTTAGACATCCTGGTTGGACTACTATAACTCTGAAACTCTGAAACAAACAAATATTTTTGTTCGAAAAAAATTCAAGATATTTGAAATATTATTTAATAAACGTGCAAAGTTTAGAATTAATGTTTTATACTTTTCTTTAAAAAAATTCTCCAAAATCGCCTTTATTTTCAGAGCGTCAAACTAGGAAGACCCCTTAAATAAAAACTCCTATTTTTTATTGTATATTCTTATAATCCTTCTTGAGACCTTTTCAAAACACTATAATAAAGTATTTTTTCGAATTAAGTATTTTTCGAGTTATTTTATATTTTAATCTGATATATTTTAATATAAAAAATAAAATATCTCGTAAAATATTTAGTTTGCGATAATTAGTTTTCGATAATCTTACCATAATACTTTTATGTACAGAATAACGAGACAAATCAATTAGTATAAAAAAATAATTGTTTTTAAGAAAAAGTATGTAATTATTTACAATATATTTTTCTAAACAATTAATAAAGTTGAACTCCATATAGCACGTTCACTCAAGGTCAAACCAATGACACCATCTTATGTCCCCCTTCGAACCAAACAACTTTTGTCTGAAACGTTCTTCTGTATCTTTCATATTATTCGAGATATTTGCCTGGGGCGATTAAAATGAAACACCCTGTATATAAAGATTTCTTCTCGTTAGAGATTATAAAATTATCAACAGCACTAGCGTGACTAGAATTTTTAAAGAATGATCGACATATAAAAAACATTTTATTAAATTGACAAATCGTACTTAGAAACACGAGCATAAAAAATATATCTCAAAGTTGCAATATGTTAAAATAGTGAGAACACACATATATGAATATTTCTATGTCGATAATAACATGATAGTAAATGCAAATGTATTTTATAAATAAATACTGATAATAAATCGATTGTCAGAAACGAGATGCTATTGCACACATATTCTTGAATAATATATCCCAATTTATTCACCATTTTCTTATTTGTATTTTATTATCAATCATATGTAAATAGTTAAATTATTTATTCGTATTACATCTAATGTCATTAATTGTCAGAGTGCAATTAATGTGATCAGGCTCGAATAAAATAACTTCTTTAATAAGAATATAGCTCTCGTTTGATAAATCATCATATTGATTTGACATTTTATGTGGATAAAAGATTATATTTTTAACGTTGTACAAGTATGCTCGATGATCTTGCGATGTACATTTCGGCAAGTTTTTGAACGTAATAAATTTGTCATATTCTTTTTCTTTTTTTAATTATAAACTTTGTCACACAGTTCTTTGCCTTGGATAATTCTGCACCTTGCTCTTTAATTTCTTCAGAGCGCACTTGGCTGCTGTACACTTTGCGATTCTATAATTTCGTCCGATACCTTTAAAGGAACCCTTACCAAATACGTCTACGGTTACTCGAACTCTACGACCGTCAGCCAGTTTCTCGGGCCTGCCGAATTTTGCCGTTTCAGGTTCCAATTCCAATAATTCACGGATCGGAGACTTGGGAACATTCGTACTGAATTGTTCTACAATTACATAACATTGTCCTCAATAAATTAGCTATACATCTTAAATGTTTGTTTTAATTGAAATCAAGAGATATATTACCAATTTCTGACTTCATTATCGTATAATAAACGCTCCATACTGCATCAAGAGACATTCCACTATCCAAGTAAATAGCACCGGCTAATGATTCGAAAACGTCACCCAGTGCTTTTGGTACTTCTACGTCTTCGGCTTCCTCACATTCCTCCTCGCCGATCAAGTAATACTAAAATGTATGATGCATTAATGTTATATATATATATAGTTGTAGGGTTCAAAGGGGGCCAATAGACGATCTTATTAAATTTGCCCAGTAGAGCCCAAGTCAATTTTTTTAAATAGAAACCTCCATTTTTTGTTGCATATTCATGTAGCTTACCTCGAGAGCTTTTCAAAACACTATAATAAAATATTTTACATTAAATATTTTTCGAGTTATTTTATATCAATCTCACATATTTTGATATAAAAAATAAAATATCTCGTAAAATATTTAGTTTTCGATAATCTTACCGTAATACTTTTATGTACAGAATAATGAGATGAATCAATTGATGTACATAAAAAAGACAAATAATTGCTTTAAAAAAATACATTGTAAATAATTACATACTTTTTCTTAAAAACAATTTTTTTTTATACCAATTGATTTGTCTCATTATTCTGTACAAAAACAGTATTACGATAAGATTATCGAAAATTAAATATTTTACGAGATATTTTATTTTTTATATCAAAATATGTCAAATTAAGATATAAAATAACTCGAAAAATACTTAATGAAAATATTTTGCCTCTTGAGAATACCAGTCATTGAGAACAGAGAATAATCCAATACATTGGTAAAATCAACGACAAATTGCCGTGATATATATATATATATATATATATATGTTTTTATCAAAAACAAATTTTCTTCAATATACATAAAATTAAGTGGATGTGCAGATATAACTAATCGTCTAAAGCACACTTTAATTGGACGAACAAAAAGTAGTTATTTATTTTTCTTAGAAATAAAACGATCTTAATAATCAATAACGTATTTTTCATGAATATTTGCTATAGAGATAAACAAAATTATAGTTTATTTTACAGTTTATTGGATAATTACAATTTATCACATTTTGAGCTTATTTTCTTGGTTTAATATTATATTTTGTCACTTAAAAATTGCTTGTGAACATCTAGATGTTATATATCATACTTACTAATGTCACACCTTTTTACTAATAAATATTTGATCTTTCTTTTTATATTCTCCCTTGAACCATGTTTCAAACCATAGAAAAATAAAGTTTTACTTTATGTATGATTATATGATTATTATCTCTTTATTTGAGATCAACGTTTTTTAAGTCTTTGCGATGACCACACATACATGCAAACGCACAAAATTTATTTATATAAAAACGTAAACTTTGAGTAGCGAACTAAAGCATTATAAAAAAATCACACATTGATCCTTTTATATTTAAAATTGCCAAGTGTGTGTCCACTTCCTTACTGTATTATATCACATGTTTATAATGATAATCCTTTTTGTACCTCTTCGCTAATGGAATGACCATTTTCTTCCTGTATTCTGACAAAACGATTTATCACTAGACTTAGACCAGGAGAGAGATGACGGAAATACTTATGAAAACCGCATCTCACAGCTAGAGAAGCAAATATTGTATTATTAACTAAAGCAGATCTTAAATCTGTTAAAGCACCTGGCGAATGCTGTCGGGAATCCTCGTATAAATGTCTGGTTATCAAATAATCTGAAATGTAAAATGATACTTCAGTGGATCATTATAGTTTGTTAAGCTTGATCAATAAAACCCCCTGCA